GAGAAGTAGAAACACCAAATATATAGACACAACTCTGTAGAAATTTGCTAAGAAAGGAAGCGGAGAAAGGGGCTAGATGGAGACACAGAGTAAGGAACTTTCTTGGTTTTGCCCACCCCCCCCGTCCCCATCAATGATATTATAGGATGGATGTTTATGAATGAGAAAGATCTAAAGGAAAGGGAAAACTCTAATGCAGGAGAAGGTATAATTCAGAAGTGCACATATGAAGGAATTGATCTTGGGAACCGGGTCGAATGGAACAGAGAAGGCAGTGTACATGTTGATGGCTTAATGATTTGAAGATGTGGTAATCACCTATAGATTTTTTCAGTTTTCCCTGTGAAAACAAAATCTAAATCAACAGCTAAGAATGAGGAAAGGAAAGCTGGAAGTAGCAAACAGTCATTGTGAAGAATAGGAGAGTGAACAGACCAGGAAAACGTAATAGGATTGAAGGGCAACCCTGAGGCCATCATGAGGTTTGTGGTCAAAAATTTAAAAGTAAAACGGAGCCGTATGAATGGCTGTTTTTCTGTAACCACCTCAGCTGAATGGATTATGGGCACATGGAGGAAGCAGACAACTGGATATAACCAGGGTTGGGATTTTATCAGAGTACAGCAAAGCAAGAGAAGGGCAAAGGAGTTGAGGATGCTTGCAAGAAAGTGATTATTATAGACTAAATAAGACTACCCAACACTGACCCTCTCACCTTTGATGTTATATCAGAAATGGGGACTTAATTTCTTACTGGCTTCTTTTTATTTCTAAGGCCTTCATGAAAAGAAGTAACTACTTTGACTCCCCAACAGTAACTAAGTAATCAGACTTCCTATAGAGTGCTAATTGTATTAAGATTACTTTTATTCTTTATTACATTAAAGAATGCTGGGAAACCAAAGAGTTTTCCCTTTTAAAAAACAATAAATTTTAAAGATCTTACTGGCTTTATTCAGTGATTCTTGAATCAGGCAGCATCCAACCTAGCAGATAGAAAGGAGCTCCAGTGAGCTATACAAAATGAGACTTCCATAGGCAGTAGAGAGCAGGAACAAGTAAGTTATGCTAGACAAAAACTTAATTGGTTATTGCAAGATTACTTTCTTTTAGGGGATGGCTAGAGTCTTTCAGGCAGATTACCTAAGTAGTGCTCATCAGGAGATTCCTGATTGACTGGTTTAAGATTCCATTTCTGGAATCTTGGTTTGCTGATGTGGGGCTTAGCATAAATGACTCCATTTTGGGCCTGCTGTCTTGTTTATAA